TGATGGGAAGAATAAATTACACGACTTGGTGAATGACTGGCAAAGCAAAAATATAGGTAAACCTTGGTCCTGAACAAATTTACATTGCTAAAAAATTACTCTGCACTGAGATCAGATTCTAAAAAAGACAAATTTCATATAGGATGAAGATTTTCAACAGATATAATATTGCTAGAACTTTCTATGTAATTCTCAGCTGCTCCATAATTAACAGTGGCTTTTTCACCACAGATTTTTCAGATGGTTCACATTAGTGGAGCTCACCCTGTGAAGGTTCACCACCCCTTCCCCCACTCTTTCCACCCCTAGAACATTTGACAACACCTGGAGCCAGTTTGGTTGTCAGGTAGAGAGGCCAGGGATGCTGTTTACAGCTTACTATGCACAGAATTGCCCACCCACCTCAACTACAAAGCATTATCTGGTCCAAAATGTCAACAGTGTTGAGGTTGAGAACACTGCTTTATACTGGCTATTTCTAAAACTCTAGACTCACACTTCATACACACACTCATCTTCCAATTCAATTCTTCATGCTTTATTTTAGCTCGTTTCATTACTAAGCAAACAAAAAAAAAAACCCCAGAGAGTTGTACAAATGCATCACTTTCTTGTTGAATCCATTCACTCAATTTAAGTTGAAATCTTCATTTTTACTTTTTACCTTATGCAACGTTTTCCAAAATTTCATGAGTTCTTGGTCATCCTATCCTATTACTAACTTTCAACAACTTGTCTTTTCAAGTCACAAAACTTTTTCAGTAACATGTCTCAAATTTCTGCAGTAATTCTACTTTCCACACTATTGATGAGATCAGAAGCCTCCGTTTATTCCTCTCACGTTGGACCATCGGTTTATTCTTCTGGTTTTCTGAGCTTTCTAGATTTGGAAATGCAGAAGGGAGTTGCGCGCCTATTGGGAGGAAGGTTTAAGCTCCGTCCGACTGGTCAGTAGGTTCCCGTTCCGTTCGGCACCGAGTCCCAGCCTCGCTCGCCCGCAGGCTCCCCGCACGCGTCCGCCCACCGCCGCAGCCCCGTCTCCGCCTCCGCCCTCTCCCCCGGCCTCCTCCGCGAACCCTCCGCCTGCGGCTGCGGGAGGAAGTTCGCGGCCTCTTTCCGGCTCTTGCTCGGGGTGCCGCCTTTCCCTGCCCTGTGCCTCCGGTCCCCAAACCTATACTCACGCCCGTCTTCCTCCAGCTCCCACCGACTCAACCTTCTTGCCACAGGTTCAGGGTCACTCAGAGGCCACCTCTTGTCTCCCTGAGGTAATTCCGGTCCTGTCATTATTCTCTTCGCTCCGCACTTTCCTCCCGACAGCTCTCACTCCTGTCTGAACGCTCCTGGGGTCCGGTCCTGACCGGGGGAGCTCCCGACGGCGGGGAGCTGCCCGTTTCCTTCTCCGGGTTCCCCGGGGCGCAGGGCCTGGCATGGGGTCCCACCCACCCACCGAGAGGTCACAGGCCGAGGCGGAGGTGCTTAAGGAAGCGGACGGGGCGGTGCTGTGGGGCGAGTGGAGGGGGAGTGGCGGTCTCTTGGAGGAGGGGGTGACGGCGCAGACCCTCGCCCCGCAGGGAGTCCTGCAGCCCCGCAGGGGAGTCGAGTGGGCCCCCCAGGGCTGAGGAGCCGAGGGGTCTCCTCTGCCCTCCGGCCCCAGAGGAGAGGGGGCCTGTGGGTGCTGGCAGGCAGGGTGCCCGCCTTGGGCTGTGTCGCTGTCAGTCTCTAACCAGTGTGACCTCCTGTTCCTGTCCCCACGGCACATTTCTTGAAGCAGAGTAAGTTCGAGTGTCACTTCTTCAACGGGACGGAGCAGGTGCGGTTCCTGGACAAGATACGTCTATAACCAGGAGGAGGACGTGCGCGCTTCGACAGTGATGTGACCGAGCTGGGGCGGCCGGACGCCCGAGCACTGGAACCAGAACAAGGACGCCCTGGAGCGGATGCGGGCCGAGGTGGACACGTTCTGCAGAGTCAACTACGAGGTGTTGTATAGATTCCTGGTGCATCGGCAAAGTGAGCGCGACCGGGGGGCAGGGTATGCGCGCGTGTGCGTGTGCACGTGTGTGCACGTGTGCGCGCGTGTGTGTGTGTGTGTGACTGTGAGAGACCCAGGTGTGAGGGGGCCTGTGAGGGCCCGGTCGGGGGACGCAGTGCGATGGTGGCCTGTGTAAGGGACCCCGACTGTGCTGTCCAGTTGTGGCGAAGGTCGCGGGCAGCAGAGGTGAAGGGGGCAAAGGTCGGGGAGATGTGAGGAGGGGAGTCACCACCTGTCTTGGCCAAACCCGTCTTAACCCTGAACCCCTGGAACAGGGTCATGTGTTTGTTGCGTAAGCATTTCCTTGAGAAGAAGGATCAGGCTAAGTTTTGAGGGGTCGGGGGCCTCTGAGGCACCTCTGATCTCCCTGAGGCTTCTTTCAGGTCTTTCTTGCTTTTTCTTCTTTCTTAGTGTACATTATTTTTACATAGTTGAAATGATTGTAAAACCAGATTTTTCAATTATAATTTTGTTACCTAACATATGGATGTTACTATTTTTATAATGCTAATAGTATTTAAGTAGTTACACATTATTTTTTATACTTGTGATAATTTACCTCACAGTCTAAATTTTTCTCAATATTACCAAATATTCAGTTGAAAATTTATATTTTTATTTTTAATTTGTACTTCTTTGATTTCTAAGGTTCTTGAACATTTTCACATATTATTGGTTAATTGTTGTTCCTGCTCTAAGAATTGCCTGTTGACTATCATCTCTGGAGGCCTGGTGTTTTTATCAGTAATTTTATGGATTCTCTATGTGGTAAAGTGAACACTTTGCTAATGTTTGACTCAGCAGTTTCTTCAGTCCTTGGTTTGTATTTTGTTTCTGTTTTATTACTTTCCATGTTAAGAATTTAAACATCTTTAATGTAATGAAATATACTGCAAAGTTGTTAGCGATTACTTACTATCAGTCTGAAAGCTACCATTTTGCAGTATTATAAAAATGTTCCCCCCCAGGTTTCTTTTCCTCCTCCTCCTCCTCCTCCTCCTCCTCTTCCTCTTCTTCCTTCTTCCCATCCCCCTCCCCACCCTCCCTCTCTCTCTCCCCCCTTATTCATCGTATTTATGGAGCTTGGTCTCAGGCAGGAAGCACACATATTAACGAGTCCCAGACCCTGCCCTGAGCTCAAGTGTCAGCTTAAAAACAAAGAACATTTTAAAATGATAGCAATTCCAATAATAGAAATTCTTCTTTTGAAAAGGAGAGGGATTATTCAACTGAATGTAATTGTAAGTATTTCTAGATGAATGACTTTCCTTGCTCCTTCCCCTCTCCTTCAGGATTCATGCTTTTCTGAAAAAGACACAGAATCACCTCTGTTTTTCCTGCTTCCCAGGTAGAACCATTTCTGTGATGTTCTCAGATGTGAATGTCGCATTCCCAGGGTTTCATACCCTGTATCCCTATCTTCCCCAGCGTTCCCCAATTTATCCACACTGCTTTGAATTATATTTTTTTCTCCAAGTGAACAAGATTAATAAATAGCTAACATATATTGATGGCTAAGTTCTAACCATTAGATCCATTGATCTTCATATATCCTTGAGAGGTCAGTTAGTATTGTATTATTATCCCTGTTTGTACGTGCGACAGCTGAGGCACAGAGGAATGCATTAGAAAAATTCTCCCAGGATCAACCAGTAAGAGGCAGAGCCTGGATTTGACCTCAGGCAGCCCTGCTCCAGAAATCATACTTTTCATTAATATGTTATATGCCTTGCAAATATCTGTAAACAATTCAATTCTATAATGAAAAACTGCTTCAAGATATGAAAAAAACCCACAAGGTTCCTCCACCTCAGATCTGGTGGGCCAGTGCCGTAGGAATAGATCCATGGCTCATGGCGCTAACGCCTGCTGGGCCGCAAGGCCAGCTCTGAGGGAGGCCTGCCCGAGGCTGAGGCTGAAGGGCAGCCAACCGAGGAGTCTTCCTCTGTGTCCCTGATGTTCCCCCAACCTTTTCTCTCCTAGCTGAGCCTACAAGTGACTGTGCATCCTGCAAAGACCCAGTGGCTGCAGCACCACAACCTCCTGGTCTGCTCTGTGAACGGTTTCTATCTGGGCCACATTGAAGTCCGGTGGTTGCGGAACGGCCAGGAAGAAGAGGCTGGGGTCATCTCCACAGGCCTGATCTGGTATGGAGACTGGACCTTCCAGATCCTGGTGATGCTGGAAACAGTTCCCCAGGGCAGAGAGGTCTACACCTGCCAAGTGCAGCACCCAAGCCGGATGAGCCCTCTCACCGTGGAATGGAATGAGAAGTGTTCTGACCTCACACAGGCCTCACCCACCATAGGGACTTTGCTTATCCCTGAGCATCAGGGTTCTCCCCTCCCCACACCATGTTTTTATTTGTTTGCGTTCCCTCCTTCAGCACTGGTCACTGGGGGTTGGCCCTGTGATAATTTCTATAAATACTTATAGTTCTTGGAGAGGCCATTGTTTGTGGCAATCAGAAGAGAGTTTGTCTCTATTATGAACTTTCCCACGATGTCACAGGTCATGTTCCTCCTTAGTCCTGGGCACCAGTCCCCTGCCTTGGGCTGGGCTGGTACTTCTGCACTGTTGCTCTAAATTGTCCAATGAGATCTGAGCAGAGGTACATCCTCCACAACGTAGGGACCTTCCTGACACGGGGAGAGCTCAGTCTGCTCTGCCGTCCCTTAGCCCTGTCACCCTCGACAAGGACTCCACCTTATTGAGTCCCAGGCTCCGCATCCATCAGATATTGAAGTAGTGGCCTTATGTCAGGGCCGTGATGTTTAAATGAGTTCAGTGCCTGGACCCTGTGTCTCCTCAGTGTGATTATAAGTCTCTTTTCCAGAAATAGCCAATTGTTCTGGTTCTTCTAGGGAAGCCTCTTCCCCACTCTCAAAGCTCCCAGTCCCAGAGTCTCAATCAAAGAAGTTGGATTTGGGATAAAAATGACTAAAACTAGTTTCTTCCCTCAGGGGCACAGTCTGAATATGCACAGAGCAAGATGCTGACTGGAGTTGGGGGCTTCGTTCTGAGTCTGCTCTTCCTTGGGGCGGGGCTGTTCATCTACTGCAGGAATCAGAAAGGTTAGGAACCCACTGGCAGCTGAAATTCCCACAGACTGTATGGGAGAAGAGATATGACTTTGCTCGAGTTAGTTCTCTGTATATCAGTGGCCCCGTACAAAGCCTTTCTTTCCTTGGTCTATCTCAAACTTCCTGGAAACCCAGAAATAAGTAGTTCATGGTTACTTTGAAATGTCAGTAACCATGGAAGCCTCTTTGGTTGGCTGCCTTTAGGCCTCCATGGTTGAAACATAAGGAATTATGGCCTGTAGAGGTAAAATGAGGGTTAATATGAACAGGGATTTGAGCCATGATCCTGGAATAAATGAAGGAACAGACAGTACGATTAATAAAGTTACACCGGATTTGTGTGACAGAAGCTTTGCAGGTCACAGCTCTCTGTTTCTGCTCTCCTCTCTACTCTCGTGGGCTGTGGTGTTAAGAGAAATGTGAGGTGGTCTGTTCCCAACATTGCGTTTGGGAACAGATTTATCTGCATATCTTTTAAGTCTGTATTTTCCTTCTTTTTTCCAGGACACTCTGGACTTCAGCCAACAGGTAATACTCCTTAATTGTATTTTAGAGACATATTCGGTCTCCCTAGAACAGAATGTAGAGGTGATAGAAATAATGGGGAGGACTTTGGATCTGACCTCAGCTTTACACCAAGGCTTCTCACCACTTAATAAGAGACCTGCTCTAAAGTAGCTTTGGCTCAGGGTGACCTGAGAACTTTTCTTCTTCTTATGTTTAGAGCCGTAGCAGGAGGCCTTAGAGGGAGGGGAAAAAAGCCGCTTGTTGGCTAGGTCTGGAAACAGCACTCCCCTCTGTCTGCAGGACTCCTGAGCTGAAGTGCCAATGGTGACACTGGTGATACTGCAGGAAGAAAGAACCTTCTGTCCCGGCTTCTTTGCAGCATGGAAAGTTTTCTTACTTGGCTCTTACTCCACAGAGAGAGCGCTTCCTCGGGATCTGCTTACGTCCAGGTTCAGTGACCCTGCAGAACACACATTTCCTGCCTGGTTCAGTGACCCTGCAAGAACACACATTTCCTGCCGGCTTCCTTAGCCCCCACCCTTGACCTGGAGGTCCCAGTATCCCCTGCTGTGCCTTTCTACCTTCCTTCCTTCCCCGGTCCCTTTGTATACAACCCTTATTGTCTCCTGTGCACCTGAATTCACCTTCTGCCCACAATTTTCCTTTGTTAAATATGGATTAAAAATCATCTGTTTCATACAGCTTCAAGTACAAGAAGTAGGAAGACAAGAGAATGAGAGGATTTCATCACCATACAATAATTTTCATTTTTGGTCTGAATTTTGGTCACATGGGAATCTGAAAGATTTCTTTATTTCCTTCCATGCTTTTTTATGAGTTTTCTGCATTCTGTGATGAGTCATGTTTCCCTGAGTCAGGAGAAAGCCTGCAGTACATGGTGGTCTCCTACATCTTGTTTCTCAAAGACATGCAAGTCCCTTCATGACATAGGATACACAAAGGGGACAATAAGTATAAGAAATGCAGGGTGTGATGCCTTCACAGTTTTTATAATCATGTTCTCTTTTTCTCTGATTTTTCAGAAGATAATATATAAACCTGGGTACTTTTTGAAGTAACCTTTTATTAGATTAATGGTGGGCTTCAATACTTCAGTCATTTTCTGTCTCTCAGATAAAAATCAGTGCTGTGTAAACTCTTTGCCTTGAGATGCACCCTTGGCCATAAATAGGTCTCAGAGGCATCAGGACGAAGCACAGCTCTAGTGGAAAAGATGCACTTCTACAGCCCTCCATGTTGTGTGATAAACTCAGTGTCTGTCACTGGAAACTCCTGTATGGACCTTATTTTAGCATCAGTCAGAGACAATGCTGAGAAACAGGAGTGTATGAATCCACTGATGTACATCCAAACAATGAAATATCTGCACTGGGAGGAAAAAAAGAATACTCTGCTATGGAATAATCTCCAAAATGTGTTTGGAGCAAGGAACAAGAGCATTTTATGCAACATTTTGTTTAATAAGATAGAAGAGAATAGGAATATATAGCCAAACTCATTCATTTTATCTATCTACCTATCTGTCATCTATGTGTCATCATCATCTATATCTATCATCTATCTGCTTCCATTGTTAATAGAAGGATTTTTTAAATGATTGTCTATAGGGAAAAATGTGGGAATAAGTTGAAGGAAACTGGACTTTTCTGAATATATATAGTATCTAATGTAATAATATTTTTAACTTGCAGAACATTTAAATATTTTTGTAATAAAAATTTTAAATCAGAAGTTTTATAAGATGATACATTAAAACAAAAAACAAACCATAACAACAGAAACAAACTGACAAGAAGTATATGATGGGAAACAAGCTAAAGAGGTAAAACAATCAAGAATTTCCAGTCCAAGATGACAGTGTAGGGAAACCCTGAACCCATCTCCTCCTGTGTCACATTAAATTTACACCTAAAGAGAGAGCAATTCTCCCCTGAATAAGAAACAAGGACTGATGGAACAACTTGTGCATAAGAAACAAAAGAGAAACCACATAGAAACAGGTATGAGACACAGAGACATGGTACCGTGGGAACCCCATCCCCAGAGCATTAATTTGCACCAGGCCAGGATCACTGAAGGGCTTATCCAACCTTGGAGTAAAGTGAAAAAGCAGTGGTTTAAAGGGCACCTTGACTGTATGGGAAGAAAATCCATTTACAAACCCTAGAGCATCTGCCAACTGGCAGGGGAACTTCAGGAACTCTTTCTGGTGTCAGAGGCAGTGAAAGGAGCCAGTCATTTGTTGACACTTGCCCACTCCCTTCATCTCATGGGCAGGACATAATTGAGGTGCTTTAGCCAGCCGGCCTTTGTTGTCAGAGTGCCCACCAGGCCCCAGTCTCACACCAGCCCTATGATTTGTCCCTAAGACTCTCCACAGGCCACACCCAATCCAACTACAACTCAGTGCCCTTTACCCTTAGGTCTCCCTGTGGCCCACTCCAATGCCAGCTCCAGCTGGCCTGCTAAAGACACCTGGCACATGTAGTCTACAAAGAGGAAGTTCCTAAACAAGTCTACTCCTTCAAGATTGGAAGGAATTGCTGTTTTACCTAATTCGTAGAAACAAACACAGAGAGACAGCCAAGATGAGACAGAGAAATATATTCCAAATAAAGGAACAGAAAAAGAAATAAGAACTAAATGAAATAGAAATAAGCAACTTACCAGATAAAGAGTTAAACACTGGTTATAAGTATGCTCAATGAGCAAGGGAGAGGACTAGATGAACTCGAGTGAGAACTTCAACAAAGACATAGAAAAATATTTAAAAGAATGAATCATAACTGAAGAATACAATGATTGAAATGAGAAAAAAAAGTTCTAGAGGGAATCAACAACAGATTAGTTGATGCAAAAGAATGAGTCACCAAGCTGGAAGACAAGGTAGTGAAAAATCACTAAATCAAAACAGCAAAAAGCAAAAGAATTTAAAAATGGGAATATTTATAGGACCTCTGGGAGAACATCAAGTATACCAACATTTGAATAATAGGGGTCCCAGAAGGAGAAGAGAGAGAGAAAGGAACATAAAACCTACTTAAAGAAATAAGGGCTGAAAACTTCTCCAGCCTGGTGAAGAAAACAACATTCAAATTGTGAAAACACAGAGTTCCAAACAAGATGAGCCCAAAGAAGCCCATACCCAGACACATCACATTTAAAATGCCAAAAGTTAAAGAATCTTAATGGAAGCAAGAGAAAAAGCAGCAAGTTATGTGCAAGGGATCCTTTATAAGACTATCGGCTAATTTTTCAGTGGATACTATCAGACCAGAAGGGAATGGTACAAAATATTTAATGTAATGAATGGAAAAAACCTATAACCAAGAATACCCAGCATAATTAGCATTCAAAATTGAAGAGTTTCCCAAACAAGCAAAGCTGAAAGAGTTAATTACAACTAAATAAGCATTAAAAGAAATGTTAAAGGAACCTTTTTAATGGAAAAGAAAAGACAAAAACTAAAAATAAGAAAATATTAGAAAGAAAAAAAATTTACTGATACAGGTAAACATTTGTAAATGTAGTGGATCAACCAGATATAAAGCTAGTGTGAAGATTAAAACACAGATGTAGTAAAATCATGTGTAACTACAGTAATAAAGGGATACACACACAAAAAGAAGATGTAAAATATGATGTCAAAAACATAAATGTTGGGGGGGGGGTGTTTAAAATGTAGTAGTATTAGCCCTGGCTGGTGTGGTTCAGTGGAGTAAGTGCCAGATATGAGCTGAAAGGTTGCCGGTTGATTCCCAGTCAGGGCACATGCCTGCATTGCAGGCCAGGTCCCCAGTTGGGGGCGTGCTAGAGGCAACTGATCGATGTATCTCTTGCACATCGATGTTTCTCTTTCTTTTTCCCTCCCTTCCCCTTCCTCTAAAAATAAATAAAATATTTTTAAAATGTAGCAGTTTTAGAATGCATTTGAACTTAACCTACAATCAACTTAAAATATATTTCTATAAACATAGGTGGTTAAATATGAATCTTATGGTAACCCTAAAGCAAAAACTTGCAATAGATAATTTAAAAATAAAGAAAAAGAACCCAAACAAAACACTAAGAAATTCATCAATGTACAAAAAAATAAAAGGAGCAAGAGAAGAACAACAAAACAGAGAACTACAAAAGCAACCTGAAAACAATTAATAAAATGGCAATAAGTACACACCTATCAATAGTTACTTTAACTGTAATTAGACTGAATAATCCAATCCAAAGACAGGGTAATTGCCCTGGCCAGTGTGTCTCGATTGGGTGATGTCCTGTAAACCAATAGGTCATGGGTTCAATTTCCTGTCAAGGCATATGACTATGTGATGGGTTTGGTTCCGTTTGGAGTGCATATGAGAGGCAACCGATCAATGGTACTCTTTCACATCAATGCTTCTCTCTGTCTCTCTCTCCCCTCCCTTTCCTCTCTCTAAAATTAATAAGCAAGTCCTTTGGTGAGCATAAAATAAATATATTTTAAAAGACAAGGTGACTGAATGGATTTAAAAATAAGACCTGTGCATATGCTATCTTCAAAAGATTCACTTCAGTTCAAAAGACACACATAGACAAAAAGTGAGGGATGAAAAAGTATTTCATGCAATGGCAATTTAAAAAACTACAGTAGCAATAGTTAGACTAAACAGACTTTAAGACAAGACTATAACAAGGGACAAAGAAGGGCATTACATAATGATAAATGGAACAATCTAACAAAAAGAAATAATACTTGTAAACATCTAAGCACCAAGTATAAAAGCACATAAATATTTAAAGCAAATATTAATGGACATAAAGGTAGAGTTGACTGTAACATAATAATAGTAAGAGGCTTTAACACCCCTCTTACATCAATAAATAATCAGACAGAAAATCAACAAGGGAACATTGGTCTTAAATGATATTGCACTAGAATAGATGCACTTAACAGATATTTACAAAACATTGCACCCAGAATCAGCAGAATACACATACTTTTCAAGTACTCATGACCATTTTCCATGATAGACAACATGTTAGGACACAAAGCAAATCTCAGTAAATTTAAAGTGGTTGAAATAATATCAAGCATATTTGCCAATCATAACAGTGTGAAACTAGAAATCAATTACAAGAAAAAAACTGGAAAAACACAAACACATGGAAGCTAAAGAACAGGGTAGTAAATAATTACTTGGTTAATAAAGAAATCAAGGAGTAAGTAAAAATTATCTTGAGAAAATGAAAATAAAAACACAAAAATCCAAAATCTTTGGGGCACAGCAAAAGCAGCTTTAAGAGGGAAATTCATAGCAATATAGGCCTACCTCAAGAAACCAGAAAAACTTAAACCCAGTCAGATAGTGGCATAAACAAACACAGCTCATCACCTCACATAACCACATCAAAATTACAACCAAAATATAAAATAACTATCACTCAGAACCATCAGAAATCAAGTTGAATGGAAGTCTGACAACTATAGGATTAAAGAAACCACATCCATCCAGACTAGTAGGAGGGGTGGGATATAGAATAGGCTGGTCCCACAACATGTGTGGTGGATAAAAATTTAGGAGGGATATCTTGGAAGCAAGGAGTCTTAGCCCCACACCAAGCCTCCCAGCCCAGGTTTTCAGTGAAAGGAAGATAAGCCCCCTATAACTTCTGGCTGCAAAAACCAGCGGGGATTGAGTTGGTAGAAGAAACATCTGGAGTCCCAAGCAGTTCCTCTTAAAAAATCCACACTCAGATTTACTCAGACTCACTCCCTATGAGCTCCAGTGCTGGGGTAGCAGCTTGGAAGGCACCAGTTGCATACAGGGAGAAAGTGAAGGATCTGGCATCAAGGTGAGAGCTGGAGGACAGCTATCTCCCAGATAGAAAAGTGGTCAGAGGCCATTGTCTCTTTTCTGAACCCTCCCACCTAGAGCCACATAGCCAGCAGGAGGGTGCCATATCTGAGACTCCATCAACCTAACTACCACTGTCCGCCCTGCCCTGAAGATCCCTTGAGACTCTGTCTTAACCAATTTACAGGCCCACCAAACTGTTAACGGTGATTTTTCCATATGAATTGCTGGTCTTGCCTCATGCTGAACAACTTCCTAAATCCTCTCAAACAAGAAACAGCAGGTCTCAGTAAGGACACAGCCCCCTATATCTTGCTAAGTAGCCCCAGGCACAGCACTAGCAGTAGCCAGCCTAGATTCACAGCTTGGCTTTACCTGGAAATCTCCAAGCTCAGTATAAGTTGCAGTCATCTCAGGTTGCTTCATAGCTCAGGCAGAGTGGCCCCAGGCAGAACACAAGTGGGAGCTGACCTTGGCCTCCACAACCCAGGAAACCCCAGAACCTGAGCACCCAGTGGACAGCTACAGACCATGTCAGAGCAGCACCGCCCTACCCATGCACAGTTTATCCTCCACAGAGGACAGACATTGGTAGTCAGTGGTTACAGCCAATCCTTGCAGCTGACTGGCCTGGGTAAATCCCTCCCTTGACCTGCCAACAGTAATTAAGGCCCAACTACAAGAGGAGGATGTACACAGCTCACACAAAGGATGCACCTCGAATATCCAGCTTGGGTGATAGGGGAGGCTGTGCCACTGGACCCTACAGGACACCTACTATATTAGCTCATGCTACCAAGACATAGAGTCAAAGTAGCTCTACCTAATACATAGAAACAAACATAGGGAGGCTGCTAAACCAAGGAGACAAAGA